GTTCAATTACCTTCAGCATATCTCTTTCCACTTCAGTGAGTTGATGTAATTCCATTTTCTGAAGGACTTTTTCAGTCCACTCATCAATTACATCTTTTAAGCTAAAAAGTTTGTCCCATAAAGCTAGAGCTTGACCAAGGTTTTCATAGTAGTCTTCTGTCTTCTCATTTATCTACCATAATTATTAACATACAGAAATAACACATTTAGTAGGAAAAAGTATGAAAACCATTGCTTCAGTCAAACACTATTTTTAAATAAAATTTTAGTTTACCTTTACTGGCTATTTTGCTTTATTAGTCAACAAAAATTTTGCTTTAACATATCATGTACTTCTCTTTTCTACAAAAAAAATCTTAGCTGATGTGCTGCAGGTTATTTGCAATGAAAGCAATATTCTTCCTAATTTCTAAGCCACAATAAATAAAAGTTGCTTTTAAAAACCCAGATGAAAATATAACACAAATTCTTAATTTGTAATTCATAAAAAATATCATTAGTTCTCAAATAAAAATGTATTAAGTAAATATATAGTTGAACATATCTTTCATGGATGAGGAACATATTAACTAATTTATTTCAAATAAGTTGAGCTTGTACTTTTATATATAGAAACTTATAGACCCATTTGTTAGTACTGCCTAAAACTCTGGATGTAAAGATAATTGCTAAGTCATAAACTTTATATTATTTGAACATTTTTACCATGAGTATTTTTGAATTTTGTAATCAGATCAAACATACTAAAGATACAACAGAAAAGGTCAATCTAATTGTTATAGAATAGAATTTCTAGTCAATTAAATGATCACTTACATCAAGCCATCTGTCCACAATAACATTAGCCTCTTTCTCAAAAGGAGGCTCTTCAAAGGTTCTCATTTTATTTAGATGAAATTGTAGATTTTTGCAGATCTGGTTAATCTTGTCAACAACTTCCAAATGTTCATTAAATTCTTCTTTGACAATTTCAATCTGTAAAACAGTTGTAAAACATGTTTTGATCTACTGACATAGATGAACTGGTAAGAAACATGATTTCATTATTTGTTTTTACTGTCCCACTTTCTCAATGAAAAGTGTTTATAATCCTAACCATCTGATTTAACAATAATTCTACACCCAACTTTCTTCCTACTCTGCATGATGGAATATGATCTAAAATCATGTCTTTTTGTCCATGAGAAATAATATTCTACCAAAAAAAAAAGCATATCCATGCAATGGTATAAAAATCGGGTATAGATTCCTCCAATAAGAATCATCTTTCTATTGTTAAAGAAAAAATGTTCTCATCTGAATAAAACACACAGAACTCTAAAAGATCTTTAATATGACTTCCAGTTTAATCTTCTATGATTCTAACTCCAACATCATCTCTAACATGGAAGCTGAAACACTATTTTATGAAAAGGCCAATGATCTTTAAAATGAAATTTGAGTGTTGACTAATGTATTCTTATTGTTCCACTCAATTTACTAATCTTACACAAACATTTTTAATAACTACATAAAATTGGGAAATAGATTACTCATAAACAAAAATCTAAAAAGTATGCACCCTAGAAGGACTTTCATTTCTGGGAATATGGAGTAGACATACTTTTCCCTCTTCTTCCCACTAAGTACAATGAAAACCCCTGCACATCACACACAAAACTAATTTAAGAAGACTGGAAAGTGGAGAATTTAAGAAGGAAGAGCGGCTGTGGGCATTAGCTCCTAAGGAACAACCTGGTGGTGTGCTCCCTGCCTTTTCTTTTTCCCTCCGATGTCCCAGACTGTGTGCTGAAGAAGGCAGCATCTGGTAATATAACAGACCAAAGAGTCCCAAGAAAGGCCTGCCCTCTTCAGCAAAAGTGCCAGGAATAGGACAACCTAGCAAGACAGAAAACTTTCAGAAAATCATCACTCCCTGAAGGTAAATAATATAGAAAAAAAATGTGGCCCAACCCCCACCATATCAGCAAAGTCAAATGCACAGCCTAGACCTCTCCATCACTTGGCTGTAACAGAGGCCCCACCTTCACCCAACCAGGGTACTGTCGGAGAAGGCCAAGTAGAGAGCCAGGACTTTCATTCCTGCTGGGCACTTGCCCCTCTGGTGTCACTAGAGGCCACCTAGGGAGCTGTGAGGAAGAGCCAGGGAGGTGTCAGCGGAAGCCTAGTGGGGAGCCAGAACTTTTACCCCCCACCAGCAATGACAAGGACACCCGAATTTCGGGGGTCAAGAAAGTATCCTGTATGCAGATGACATGATTATCTACGTAGGAGATAATCTCTAAAATACTCCTAGAAATCTATAATCTTCAACAATATAAAGATGATACTCCAAGGAATCTATAAAATACTCCTAGAGCTGATAAGTAGGTTCAAAAAAGATTGAAGAATAGAAGATAAATATATAAAAATCAACTGTACTTCTATGTACTAACAACTCTACTTCTGTATACTAACAACAAATTTAAAACACCATTTCCAATTACTCAAAAAATTAAATACTTAGATGTAAATCTAACAAAACATGCATAGGAGTTATATGTTAAAAACTACAAAATGCTACCCAGCTGGCGTGGCTCACTGGTTGAGCGTCCACCTATGAACCAGGAGGTCATGGTTCGATTCTAGGTTAGGGCATATGCCTGGGTTGCAGGCTCGATTCCCAGTGTGGGGCATGGAGGGAGCAGCTGATGAATGATTCTCTCTCCTCATTGATGTTCCTCTCTCTCTCCCTTCCACTCTGAAATCAATAAAAAAAAATATATTTTTTAAAAAACAAAACAGCCCTGACCAGTTTGGCTCAGAGGCTAGAGCGTCGGCCTGTGGACTGAAGAGTCCCAGGTTCGATTCCGGTCAAGGGCATGTACCTTGGTTGCAGGCACCTCCCCAGTGGGGGGTGTGCAGGAGGCAGCTGATCAATGTTTCTCTCTAATGGGTGTTTCTAACTCTCTATCCCTCTCCCTTCCTCTCTGTAAAAAATCAATAAAATATATTTAAAACAAAACAAAACAAAACAAAAAATCTACAAAATGCTCATGAAAGAAATTTGAAGGTCTAAATAAATGCAGAGAACTACCAAGTTCATGAATACCTAGTAAAAGGAACACAGGCTCTCCCTGTATTATTTCTTATAACTGCATGTGACTATAATTATTTCAAAATAAAAAGTTTAATTAAAAACTAAACATTTTTGATGAAAAAAATTACTGAGAGGTTCTATTTCCTGACTTCACACTGACTAATACATTGGCAAGGCTGAAAGGCAAACCAAGTGTTTTTCCGTCCAGTTTAGGCCTCTTTGTATTGGGACATAATAAATGTTTGTTCAATTAAATGGAAAAAATATATATAGCCCTAGCCGATGTGGCTCATTTGGTTCAGCATCGTCCCATGAATCCAAAGGTTGCCAGTTCGATTCCTGGTCAGGGAACATGCCCAGGTTGTGGGTTTGATGCCTGGTGGCGGTGCGTACCAGAGGCAACCGATCAATGTCTCTCTCCCTCATGTTGATGCATTCTCTCTCTTTCCCCCTCTCCCTTCCTCTCTCTTTCAAAACATCAATAAGAACACATGTGAAGTATATTACATGTGTTTAAATTAGGATGGATGTATACCCATCCTCATTCTTATTACATTCAGAGAACTTTGTTGTTAAATTGACACAAGCAGGTGAAAAGACAGAGCAGGAGAGGGTACTTTTGCATTGACAGGAACTGCAGGTTTTGTTCTGTAATGAATGGAAGGGGGAGAGGAAAGAAAGCTAGGTCCCCTCTGACATTTCCCAAACTTTAACAGTCCCCTGACAGTTCAGCTTTCTAGCCTTACTTTCACACTCTTTCATTAAGGAGAGTAGAAATTTGGCACCATGTCCTAGATAAACATCCAGGTTTCTATAGCTTTGGAGGACAAAAGTTCTCAGTGGTATCATATTTCAGCCACTGAGCATCATGACAATGCATGCCACAGAAATGGATTGTTTCTGAAGACAGTACCGAGGTCATCACAAAATTGACCGAAAGTTGTGTTAACGATCAGTAGCACTAAAATTTGCTTTTATCTGGTCATTTAAAAAAGTGTCTGGGAACAAAATTAAACACCAGTGTACTAGAACTTCTATGTCTTCCATACAAAATTATATGTTATTTCAGCAAATATATAAAGTGCCCATATGCTAGACACCATGCTAGATGTAAGATTCTCAACATAATAATTTTTTTAATGCCTGGACTTGTATATGTAAAAATTATAGTTACTTTATTAATTTTAAAACAACCTTTTGTGAGCTAACCATTAAGTTGAGAAAGGGGTATAGATGAAGCCAAGTTAACCAATTTTTACTTCTGTCATACACATACTTCAAATATGTTTTCAGGAAAGACACTATTGTGATGACTGAAACATGACTTCGCAGTCAGATAGACCTGGGCATAAGTAATAATTCTATCGTTCATAAATTAGCCATATAGTTTTTATGTTATTTAATAAGAAACTCTAAGAAGCTCTTATCCTAATCCCCAATGTAATGATATTAGGAGAAGAGGCCTTTGGGAAGTAATTAGGTCATAAGGGTGGCGCTCTCATGAATAGGATTAGTGCCCTCATAAAAGAGACTCCAGAGAGTTATCTTGACCTCGCCACGGTGTGAGGACCAGGGAAAAGATGGCCACAGTGTGTGACCTTGGGCCAGGGGAACTGAAGGTGTAGGATCCCAGCCTAGGAGAGCTACAGGGCTCCTGTGGAGAGCCACTGGGCGATGGAGGGTCATCCAGTTAAGCCATGGGGGTGATGAGGCCATCCAGTGGGCTTGGAGGCAGAGCATCAGGCTACAGAGGATTATTCTCAAGCCTTACGGTTTCATGTTGTTTGCCTTGTTAGGTTTTGGTCTTACTTCTTTCTCCTTTCCTATTTCTCCCTTTTGGAACAGATATACCTACCTGTCCCACCACTGTATTTTGAAAGTATATAATTTGTTGGGTTCTATGGGTTAGCTGCTGGAGAGAAATTTCCCTCAGGATGAAACGTACCTTGAGTCTCACCCACATCTGATTTAGAGGATATGCAGATGAGACTTTGGACTTAGATTTTAGAGTTGATGCTGGAGCAAGTTAAGACTTTGGGGGCTGATGGGATGAAATGCATGTACTTTGCATGTAAGAACACAGATTTTGGGGGGTCAACAGCAGAATGTTATAAACTGTGAGAGCTGTCTCCAAAACTGTAAGAAATAAATTTCTGCTGTTTATAAGCCACCCAGACTATGGTATTTTTGTTATAGCAGCCCAAACAGACTGAGACAACAGGCATAGAGGCACTAATGATGGCAGGAGGGTCAATACCTGGACTTAGATGTCCATTAATGAGAGTCATTCAGGAGAGGGGCCACCTGCCTGAAGGTGGATGGAAGGGATTTTTCCTGATCAAAATTACAGGGTTGGTTATACAGTTATGGGTGCGGGAAGAATGTTCACACAACTGAGAAGCGAGACCATTTAGAAATGCAGATAGGCCAAAGCCCAAGTTTACCCCAAGGTGTGCCTCTGTGGCCTATAGATTATTTGAGCTAGCCGAAACCGGTTTGGCTCAGTGGATAGAGCGTCGGCCTGCGGGACTGAAAAGGCCCCGGGTTCGATTCCGGTCAAGGGCATGTACATTGGTTGCGGGCACATCCCCAGTAGGAGATGTGCAGGAGGCAGCTGGTCGATGTTTCTCTCTCATCGATGTTTCTAACTCTCTATCCCTCTCTCTTCCTCTCTGTAAAAAATCAATAAAATATATTTAAAAAAAAAAAAAGATTATTTGAGCTAAAGTCAACTTTAGCAGAGAGACTCAAGAAAAACTTCTGTCCCTCCCATAACTACCTACATGAACTTGAATTAGGCATCTGCCCGTAAAAAGAGATGATCAGAGGTAACCTCTTTTGACCTATCTATAGGGCAGGGTAAACTTCTATTTACTGAACATCTGCTCTGCTTATCACCCTGCAATAACCCTTTGAGGCCCCCAAGGCACCTTGCCCCACCCCTAGCTGAGAATGTCCTATGTACCCATTTCCCTTTTTGTCTCTGAACCTCCAATGCACATGGGGTTTCTGACTCTCTCATGAAGGCTGGGTTCCCAAAGAGATGTATTAAATTTGTTCTTTTCTCTTGCTAATGTGTCTCATGTCTCTCTGATTATTAGACCAGCCGGAAAAAACACACGAGTGTTTTTTTCTTACCCCACAACCACACACACAGTGGGCATCATGACTGATGCCATTAAAAGATTAAGTCCCAGGTACACTGCTAGGTACTCTACCGATGCTACCTCACCAAATAGGATAGACAGAGCTTTTTTGCTGGTAACAGGATCCAACTTAACAGGACAAAGGTAGGACTCGAGGACTAAGGAGGATTAGCACAAACCAAGAACAGCTGCAAGCAAGAGGGACTAAATATGTCTGGTCAGCATACAAGACAGGGACTTAGGGGACAAGACAGTGATTAAGGCTGAGACCTTGATTCTGAAATAGGAGTGCCTAATGGGAAACTGTTGTCAGGGGCACACAGAAGAGTAGTTACGTGAACTGGGACACACGGGTGAGGGGATCTCGTACGGCTGATCGTGCTGGATTCTCTGAGAACCGAGGGAACCACAGCGCCTTAGATCCACTGGGATGAGGACAGGACCCTCCTAGACTCCGAGACCACCACACCCAGAAGCTGCTCTGCTGGACAGGTTGCAATGGAGCAGCTCCAACTGACTATCCACTCATGGTCTTGGTGGCCTCCCTCATGGAACACCAGTCACACAGTCACGACTGTACAACTGGTATCTATCTAATCCAGCCCCTTTCTGACTGGTCCGTCTCAAGAAACTGAGTCTGAGAAAGTGGGTCCTTGACAGGGGCTACTCCTCGGCTGTGGCACCGGCCGTGTGTCTGCACCCCGAGTGCCACGGTAGCTTCAGGGACAGGAGTTCCAGATAAAGAATAAATCGTCCTTGTAAGCTTCTCCTGATGTTGTTCTCAGCAACGGGGAAGTTTAATAAAATTGCTTTCTAACAACCAGCTGGGTCAAGCAGACTGGGCTGCGCACGGGATTTTGACTCTCTGACCGCACTTTAGCATCGTGCTCACAAACCAGCAGGAAAAGCAACGTGCTGGTGAATAAGCACACAGGACAGTGTGATCTTCTCTGTCTCCCTTTCTGCCACTCTGATGGAAAACCACACAAAATCATAGAAAATAATGACACCTAGTGTCCAAAAATGTTATTCTTCTTAGAACATGAAGCTGTGCTCGGCGAGGCTATGAACACAACAGAACCACCTGCAGAACAGCTCACGCACCTTTTGCAAAAAGCAAATAAGTAAAAAGGTAATTTTTCCCTTTGTCCACTAGCCACAGAGGGGATTGTCCAACGGTCTTCACTCTCTCAAGACTGCAATGAAGTGTCAGGTTCCTTGAGGCAGAAGGTCAGTGCACACACGGACTGTTACCACCTCCCGGAGGGAGCAGCAGGGCCTCCCCGGACTACAACACAGCCACCCAGCCAGCGCCGAACCCAGACAGAGGCGACCCAGCATCAACCTGGGGGTTGATTTTTTTTTTTTTTTTTGAGCTCTGCTGACATACTCAATAAATTCTTAGATATTTGGTAAAAAAGAGTCACTAGTAACTTCTTTTAAACCAAATTTTGGAAAAGGCTCCGTTTATAATATCCTCTCTATTGCCAGGCTAGTGAGCAAGGCCGTGGGTATTTCGTTAGGAATGCGGACTCACCTCTGCTATCCTTTTCTTCAGGTTCTCCTTCCCCATGTACGAAGCCTGAAGGGAGATGACATTCTCTTCTTTTTGAATCAAAGTTGTCAAGACGCTTTTAAAATTCTGATATTGTTTTAAGAGCTCCAAAACGCGTTCACACTGGTCAAGGCTATCAGAAGGGAAACATGTAAAACAGCTAAACATCTGAAAATAACAAAGCCATTCTTTCTCTCTTTCACTATCCTTATAATGACCAATAAGTTACAGAAGGATTTTTCTTCTTGACATGGTTTATAATAGTTTTACCAATTTAACCTAAGCATGACGGCACCTACGTGCCATACCAAGTGGATGGTAAAAACAGCCACTGGACTCGTATTTTCACCGGATCAATATTAAAAAGTCACTAGATGTACGCTTTAGAAAGAACCTACGACTCATGACCTTGAGGAATCGGCATCTCAATTTCATCCTTAACCAAAAATCATCTTGAAAAACTGTGCCTCCCTAGAATTATTCTTGGAGATTATTTCAATATTGGTTTAGCAAGTCACAAGTTGCTTGTGTCTACTTAACTCATTCTAGATTTAGCCCATTTTAAAAAGTATAGTACAGATAATGTGGCAGTTAGGACACCTGGTTTCTAGTTATGGCTGGGAACTAATTAGATATATGATCTTAGGTAAGTTACGTTAGGTCCCAGAACCTCAATTCCTTCCTCTGTAAAACTGAAGGATAGACTAGATCAAATACCACAAAGAGGCTTTATCTTGACTATATACACTCAGGTCCCAGAAGGAAAGTATAGAAAGTGTACTCGGAAGTTCGGTGGTGAAGGGACCACTGAGAGCAGAGTTAAGGGAATCACCAGAGAGCTGAGCCACCCAGGGACTGACAGCAGCAATAGCTTTTTTTTTTTTTTTTTTTCATTCTCATCCAAGGATATTTTTTCCATTGAGGTGAGGGAGGGCAGAGGAGGGGGAGAGGGAGAGAGAGAAAGAGACAGAGATTGGAAGACGCCAAGCTGCTGGCTTTAAAGATGGAAATAAGAGACACACGCCAAGGATTATAAGAGGAAGCCTCCAAAAGACAAAAAAGGCAAGGAAAGGGATTCACTCCTGAAGTTTCCAAAAGAAACAGAGCTTGATTCGGGGATTTCCGACCTTCAGACTGTAATAAAAGCTCGTGACATTTTTCAGCCACTAAATTTGAGGTAACTGGTTACAGCAGCAATGGAAAACAAATTCAGGGGAGGGGAGGAGAATTAATATACGGTGTGTGTGTCAGCCTTCCTAGATAACCTCTTCAATTCATCAAGCCACAGTCTGTGACTCCAGGGCTGCCCAGACACTGGCCCAGGGCGCTTCCAGGGCGAAGCTCCTGCTTGCCCTCCGTTAGGTGCCGGGAATGTGTGTTGATTGTGCCACAGAGCACCTGGCAGAGGCGGGCGGGATTCTGTCCTTACCATTCAGTGACGGAGGCTTTGGTGCTCTCCCACAGGAGCGCTGTATTCTGGCACTGCTGACTCAGAGCTTTTTCTCTGCCGTCTTTGAATTGTGGAAGAGAACCCGCCATTTCTTGCAAGTGTTTCTTCTCTTTTTCATAGTCATCTAGGTCCTTTTCCAGTCTGATTAATGACTTTTTTCTTGATTATGAAAGAGAAAAGATTGATAGCCAATCATTAGCCAATTTGACAGGATACAAATGAGGGTAATTTGGGGAGCACACCACCTTTAATTTGTCCTCAGGAGGTTTAGGAAGACAAAAATTACACATTAAAAATTGCTATTACAGAGTTTAGGAGGCTCTCTGCATTCCCACTATACTAATATGGGGTTTATTAAAATAAATATACAAAAACAGTAACATTTTTCTGTGATGAACACACTTATAAAGGGGGTGTATATGCATGTGAGGAAAAAGAGAAAGCGTATGTGTGCGTAAATGAGTGGGAAAGAGAGCATGGTGTGGAGAGAAGAAAAGAGATAAACAGTAGAGCACTACAAGGCTGCTAAGGAGGGGGGCGGGGGGTCCGAGGAGGAAGGAAAAACTTGTATGTCTACCCTGTGTACAACAAGCTCTCCCATATCAAGAGTCATTTGAGCTAAGGGTGTTAAGGTGCAAACTCATCCTGGAGGAATGAACGCCATTCACCAGGGTCTAAATTCCTTTTATCAGATAGTCACTGTCTCTATTTTCTCTTTTCTGGTTTCTCTTGAATCTACTCCCATTCCCTACAGCTCCTCCAAAAACTGCACAAGACCTCCAGGAACCACCGCATTGCTGAACTCATGCTCCCCTCAAATCCTCACCGTCCTTCCCTCGTCAGCAGCCTCTGACGCAGTTGCTTACATCTTCTTCGCTGAAAGACCCCACTTGGCTCCCAGGACTCTCTTGATTTTCCTTCCACTCCACTGACCACTCCTCGGCATCTCTGCCTTGTTCCCCTCATCTCCCACGACCCCCTCCTCCCAATGTGCAACACTGACCTCTCCTCTTGTCTATTTAAATCAAGGGTGGGGAACGTCCAGCTCGCAGGCCATATCAGGCCCTCGAAATCATTTGGTCTGGCCCTGCCAAGGCATTAGGGGTGAGTTAATTAAATGTTTGACCAAATATAACTTAATTTTTAAGTTGATAAATCTGTATGGCCCGCAAATTATGTTATAAATATCCAAATGGCCCTTGGCAGGAAAAAGGTTCCCCACCCCTGACAACTCAATCTGCTACTCGTGGCTTTAAATAGCATTCCAAAATGCTAGTAACTCTCAAATGCATACCTGTAACCCTGACCTCTCTCCCAACTCTGATGCCATCTGTTTTTAAGAGTCTTAATGATATCTACACTTGAAAGTCAAACAAGTATTTTGAACCTATCACGTCTAAAACTGAGCACACCTGATCTTTCATTCACTACCTGACAATTTCAGTCTTGGTCACTTCAGTTAATGGTACCCCAATCTTTCTTTTACACCCCAAGTTCAATGTGTCAACAAACCTTGTAGACCCTACCTTCAAGAAATATCCAGAAATCTTAAAACTTTTCATCATTTCACCACTGGTCCACACCACCATCATCCCTCACCTGGATTACTGAAACAGATCAAACTAGACTTCCTGTGTCTTCCCTTAACTTCTAGTCTATACTAAACACATCAACCAGAGAGAATCAGTTACAACAAAACCAAGTCATTTCCCTCTGCTCAGCACCCTCCAATGACTTCTCAATGCCACTCAAAAAAGGAAGCCAATGCTCAGTGGTTGAGCATTGACCTATGAACCAGGAGGTCACAGTTGTTCCTGGTCAGGATACATGCCTAGGTTGTGGGCTCAATCCCCAGTAGGGGGCACACAGGAGGCAGCCAATCAATTAATTTCTCTCATCATTGATGTTTCTCTCTCTCTCTCCTTTCCTCTCTCTGAAATCAATACACACACAGACACAGACACACACACACACACACACACACACACACACACACACACACACACATATATATAGAGAGAGAGAGGGAGAAAGACTTTTTAAAAAAAAAAGCCAAAGTAATCACATGGCCCACAGTCCCTTCATGAGCTAAGCCTCATCCCATCAAGGATCTCCCTGACACGC